CCTGCTGAGTGCGTGGCTGCATTTTCCCTAGGATAAGAATGGAGCGGCTGATGTCCATAACCCAGGAGGAGACGGACAACCTGCGGCGCCGGGAGATTGCCTGTGAGTCTGGGGCCGACGGGGTGCGGCAGGGAGGGGCCCTGCCTGCTGGGAACGGGCACGGGGTGCTGCCCCTGCAGAGGGCAGCAAAGGCCCGTCCCGGGGCCTGGGCCCTGGCTCAGGCCAGACCTGGTTCAGAATCGCTGCTCCCCGCAAGCTATTGAACTGAGCGGCTTTCCCTTTTCTTGGTTATAAACCAAGACTAAGCTGCAGCCTGTGGACCCAGACCGTCAGCCAGCAGGGGGACTTGCCCCTCCTGTGATCGTCAGAAATCGTGCATGTGGCGGTCTTCACCACGCCTCTCCTTTCCTGGCCTTCCCGCTGGGTGACTGCCCCCCTGGCCCGCCCAGACTAACTGGGGACAAGCAGGGCCAACCCCGCTGGCTCTGAGAGACCGGCTGCCACGTAGCCGCAGGTGGCCATGCCACCCTGGCATGGCGAGAGTGCCCGCTGCCAGCCACAAAACGTGGCCAGTGGGGGCGACTCCATTTTGTTACAGTTGTTTGAAAATGCACGACTTAAATTTTGCCATTTGGCCCCTTTTAGGGTCTAGTTCTGAGGCACTAGGTACTTTCTCCTCACTGCAGCCAGAATGGTTCATCTTCCCAACTGCAGCTCTGGGCCCTAAGCCAAGAACCCCCCTTTCTCCCCCTCCGCCCCTGCAGCCTCCACAAATCCAGCCATTCCAGGGACCCAGAACAGGGGGTCGCACGGTGTTTGCCACTTTGCGGCCGGCTAATTTCAGCACAGCGTCCTCGGGTTTATGTGTCTACCCGGTGGCCTCTGTCACGCGCCTTCCTTTTACAGGCCGAGTAATATTCCACCGGAGGGTGCACGTGCCCCCGTTCTGTTACTTTGTTGGCCCCGACATCTGGCAGTGGCGCCTGGGCCGTGCCCCCCGTTGGCTGCTGTGAATAATATTGCGTAAATCGGGTGTCCTGGTAACTTTCACTTTTGCGCTTTTCAGTCATTTTCATTTTTACACCCAGGCGGGCGCATGAGCCAGAGGCTGTTATCCAGAGCTGCCCGAAGGCCAGGCAGCAAATGTCACCGCTGGGTGACAAGGTCACGGCGGCCTTGTGAGGACTGTTTGTTGTTCTACCACTAGCCTGGCAAGCTTAAGTCCCTGCTGTAGCTTAGGGCCGCGTGGGGCCTGCGGGCCCGCAGAGCGGCCGCCCTCTCAGCGCCCCTGTTTCCTCAGCGGCCATGCAGCAGATGCTGACCGAGAGCTGTAAGAGCCGGCTCATCCAGATGGCCTACGAGTCGCAGAGGCAGACCTTGGTCCAGCAGGCCTGTTCCAGGTAAGGTAAGGAAGAGGCTTCCCGCGTTGGCTCAGGGCGCAGGGCTGGGGCGAGAGCCGGGGTGCCCAGCCTGGGCCGTGCTGTGATGCTGTGACTGTTCCGTGGACCTCAAGAGTTTCTCGGGCTGCGACAAAGCGACAGTAGCCACTACCGCTGCCCGTGTGCTGCTGCTGTGCCAGGCACGCTGCCAGGGCTGCGCCTTAGCGCCCTGTCTGCGCCCTGCCCGCCCGGGACCCTGTCATGCAGCCACTGTCAGGCCCAGAGTCCGTCTCGCTCCGTGAAGGAGCCGCAGGTGCCGACTGAACAAACCTGGGCTGACTCTCAGGCGCCCGGACCGAGGCAGCCAGCAGCCGGGTGAGGCCCCCCAGGGTGGCTCCCCGCAGCCTCGCCCGTGCGCCCCCGGCGCTGCGCGCAGGCACGGTGCTGGGAGTACGAGACGTCCCCTCCCTGGGCCTCAGTCTTCCCCGCAGGAGAGTGGGGCCAGGTCCCAGCACGTGCCCCAGAAGCCCCTTGTGGAGAGCTTAGAGGGTATCCGTGCGCCCTGCACTTCGTGGCTCACAGCTGCCGCCTCGGGGTGCGGTAAATAACAACTTCCTATGAGCGCAGCTGAAAACCACGATTCCAGTGTGGGCATAGATGAGACCCGGTCTGGGTCTGGGTCTGGGTCTGGGTCTGGGTCTGGGTCTGGGTCTGGGTCTGGGTCTGGGTCTGGGTTTTGGACAAGTATCGCCAGACCTGTTCCTGGGGAGAGAGCAGCCTCCGTCACGGCAGAGCTGGGGTAGAGCATGTGGGGGCTCCCCTCACAGCCCCCCCGCCAGGATGGCGCAGGTACAGGGCAGAGGCCAGGGCCGCTTCACGGAGCATGGGGCACACTCCCGTGGGGGGACCCCGCACCGTCCCTCCAGGCAAGGGACACAGACAGGCTCTGTGGCCGGGCCTGGCCCGGGACACCACCCCGCCCCACAGGGCCTTCGTTCACGTCCTTTCCCTCCACAGTCCCAGCGTCTGGCACATGGTTGTTGCTCGCAGTGAGTGAGTCTCTGGTCTCTCTGGCAGCATGGCTGAGGCGGGCGAGCGCTTCCAGCAGATTCTCTCGTGGCAGCAGATGGACCAGAACAAAGCCATCAGCCAGATCCTGCAGGAGGTGAGCCACGGGCAGGGTGTGGGAGGCCGGGCAGGGGCCCAGGGGCCCGGGCCAGTCCCAGAGAGCGAGCGGTGCCCAAGCGGTACCCGAGTGCCAGGCGAGCTTAGCAGTGGATGAGCCGCCGGGAGGAGGGGCGGGAGCTGCCTGGCCGTGCGTTCCGGTCTCTGAAGCCCGGAGAAGCACCTCTCCTTCCCCCGTGCCACCTACTTCACGCCGGGCGGGGGCGCATGGTGAGGACTGAAGGGGCAGATGGGATCTCCCACAGAGCGAGCTCTGAGAGGCACCTGACTCCCCACTCCAAACCCACCGCCCCATCCGCTCCCCGCCGGCCGGCCGAGCTGGCGACCTCCCGCTCAATCCAGAGCGTCTGGTCTGGTCGTGGCCCAGCGCTCGTGGGCTTGTCTGAGGAGGCCTTTGGGCCCGGTGCGCTTGGAGCGGAACTGTCGGGGCGCACCCCAGCGCCCGCCAGCCACTCTGAGCCTCACCTTCCTCGTCGTGGGGCAGCGCTGGGCCTAGTGTCCAGCGCAGGCGGGGGCCCCTGCCGCGGGCCTGCTGCTGCGCGCCTGAGCCCGCTCTCGGTTGCAGAGCGCCATGCAGAAGGCCGCCTTCGAGGCGCTGCAGGTGAAGAAGGACCTGACGCACCGGCAGATCAGGAGCCAGGTGGGTGCGGGTGCGTCCTGCGCTCGCGAGGGCGCCTGGCCGCCGTGGGGCTCCGGCCTGCTGCGCGTGGCAGGACCGCCCGGGCTGGGGAGGCAGGGAGGCGGCCCCGACTGCTGGCCGGGCAGCGGCCTCGCCCGAGGAGGGTCCACCCACTGCTGGCCCCGTCCTGGCCTCTCCGGCCGCCGAAGAGGGCCGCGTCTGCCCGGCGGGCTCCCTGGGGCGAGGGCGCAGCGCGGTGGCGGCTTGCAGGCGAGGGGACGCTCATCCATCATATTCAGCACCTTTGAATTCCGTATTTTGCATGGTTTTTTTCCTTTTTTATTCTTTTCTTTTTTGGCCAAAACCAACTTACCTTTTTATTTCCCTCTTTGTTTAACCCTGCATTCCTGGACATGAAGCTCACTCCTCTGACCGGGGTTGGTAGTGTCACAGGACGTTAGGCTCCAGGTCACCGGGCCCCGGCACTGGTAGAGCAGACGGGGCCGTGGGTCTCACCCCAGGCCAGCCCCAGGCACGCCGCAGGGAGCGTGGAGCCCAGACTCTCGACTCCCCAGTGACAGGGCCCACTTCCCTGCTGTCCTGGGTGAGGCCCTTTACCTCTCTGCTCCTCCGCTTCCTTGTTTGTAAAATGGAGGCAACAGCCTCTCTACAGCCAGAAGTGATGGAACGACGCAGGTAAAGCGCTCGGCCAGGCCCAGCAGACGCCCGCCGAGGTCAGCGCTGCCGCCCTGGCTCCCAGGCACGCCCAGCCCCTTCCGTCCCCCGTCACAGCTGTTTAGAGGAAGCAAAAATGTTGGACCAGTAAGAGCCTCAGTAAGAACCCACACCCGTGAGCGAGCCTCAAAGGACAGTCCCTCTTTGCCCCACAAACCACTCAGCGCCCGCTGGGCACCAAGCCCGAGCCAGCGCTCGGCCAGCGGTCGGGATCAGGAGAGGCGTGTCCGCCCCCGCCGCCCAGGGCCGTGAACCAGCTAACTCTTGAAATCCACTGCCGAGCTTCCTGTGGCTCACGGGCCACTTCCTCCAGAGCCCCCCGAAAGGCTTTAGACCCCTCGGCCTTCAGAGCGCAGCAGCAGACTCGGACCACGGCTGATGGGAGTGAACCCCTGTCTCGTCTTCTGTTTAGATTAAGTTAATAGAAACTGAGTTATTGCAGCTGACACAGCTGGAGTTAAAGAGGAAATCCCTGGACACAGAGGCACTGCAGGTATGTAGGGCTCCCCAGCCTGCCCTGCCCCCTCCCCCCGCCCCTCGCCAGCAGGCAGGCAGGCCGGTCTCTGCTGGAACTGGGGCCCAGCGCCAGCCAAGGTTGGGGGTGAGGCTGTGCTAGGCAGGAGGGTCAGAGGAAGGGGGTCTCATTGCCAAGCCAACACCTCCATCTCTGCCTTTTCTTTGTTTCGGGGCGGGGCCACTGCTGAGCTCCCTGTCTTTAAGCCATGCTTTGGGGCGCTGGTTTGACTCATGGGGTGACATCCTCTGGGAAAGGAGCTTTCTTGGAGCGCCAAGGATGTCTAGGGGAGAGGGCCAGCCACTGCTGTGCCCGGTGGGCAGCTCCTCGGTGTCCGGCTCCCAGAGACAGCAGGGGCCAGTGGGCAGTGTTCCCCACCTCGAGTCTGTCCCCTGGGTGTTTCCCAGCACAGCCTGGCCCCGTGAGAGAGAAGCCAAGCGAGAGAAAGGGCGGCCCTTTCCCCTCTCTGGGGCCCACGGTGCGCACGGGGCTGGCTTGTGAGCGGCGCCCCGTCTGTCTCGGTGGGGTCTGACGCTGTCTCCTGGGCTGCCGGCACGGTAAACGGGGCTGTCGGGGGCCCTGGGCCCACCCCAGTGTGCGGTGTGGACGCTGGCAGCCCCTGCCCTCCTGGGCCTCCTGCCTAGTGTGGAAGTCAGCTTCCAGGCCCAGCTTGGGGGAGGGCCGTCGAGAGGGGCCCAGCAGGCGGGGTGCCCGTGTGAGCCCAGAAGTGGCCTTCAGGGGTGGGGCGGCAGACAAGAGGCGGCCAGGTCCCTGGCGGTGCCCTGGTCTTCTGCCTTCAGGGCTCCATCTGTGTAGAACTTTCCAGACCGGTGTGGGCTCACAGCCCTCCTGCCCTTGTCCCTGCCCACACGCTCCGCAGTGAGTGAGGCGGTCGTCGAGCCTGTCACTTGTCATCGCCTTTGTCTGAATTTTCTTTCCATTCCACCGTCATCAGTCACCAGCTCCCCTGCCTGGCTCACCCTGGGCACGGGAGGTACAGGCTGGGGAGGAGCGGGATGCCCTACAGGGGGGCCCTCGGCTTTGCTCCCCAGCTCTCAGCCTAGAGGCCAGGGCCCGGGGGCAGAGCCCTGAACTGACCTGGGTCCCCAGTTGCCAGCAGCGAATGGAGTGAGGGGTCCTGCGGCCCCCCGGAGGGGGCCGGGCCGGCGTGGCACTGGGTGTGGTCTTGTGTTGCAGGAGGTGGTCACGGAGCAGCGCTGGGCCCTCGGCAACCTGCTCCAGCAGCTGCTCAAAGACAAGCGGCAGCGGGAGGAAGAGCTCCGGGGCATCCTGGTGCGTGTCCGCGCGCGTGGCCGTCCCAGGGGCGCTGCTTATTCCCGTGAACTGCCCCTCGGGGCCAGTGGCAGGCCCACGGGCAGGCCCGCCGGCGGGCCCACGGGAGCTCCCTGCATGCGTCCCCCGAGGCACAGCGCACGCCAACGGCCTGGGACACTACAGGCCCTTCAGAGCCGTCACTGCCCCGCTCTCCGCCTCTCTGAGACGCACCCTGCGTCCCTCACGTGGCCCCTGGAGGGGCCAGCGCCGGCCTCTGCCGACAGCGCGACTGCCGACCCCCACTCTGGTCAGCGCGACTCGGGGCCCCGGCGCTGGGCTCGAGAAGAGCGTGCGTGTGGCTCAGCGCCAGTGTCCAGGAGCCGC